TCCCAAGTAGCTGAGACTACAGGCTTATAGGACTTATAGCTACCACAATCGGCTAATTATTTTTAGAGTCAGGGTTTTGCCATGTTGCTCAGGTTGGTCTCGAACTCCTGAGCTCAAGCGAGCTGCTCGCCTCAGCCTCCCAAAATGCTGGGATTACAGGCATGAGCCACTACACCTGACTTCATTACAATGTTGATGAGAAAAAAGAATCACTCCCCCATACACGTTAGGTGAATTGGTTTGTCGGAATAGTCCCAGTCTGACTGAGTGTGGGTGTGATCGTGCCCTGCAATGGGATGCCATCCTATCCAGGGCTGGTTCCCACATTGCACTTAGAGCTACTGGGATAAGCTCTGGCCATCTGCAAACCCTGAACTGGAATCACTAGGTACATAATCATCTTTCTTTCTCAAATGTACATAAAGCTCACATTTATTTCAGTGTTTAATATTAGAAGTGTTTTGCTTTTCATTTAGAAGTTTGATGATGTTTTTGTGACCAGAAATATGCTACAGGAACTTAACTCTTCTTTGTATCAATTAGCCTATAGTAAAATTGGTTTCATTACATATACATCATTTTGCTTAAAGTTACAGTAAGTTTCCAAGAACCTATCAATGACATTGAAGATTTACTGCATTGCATTTGTCTTATTCATTACTGTACATCCAGTGCTTTTCACTTCACAGGCATTCAGTATCTGTTGAATGAGTGAATTTTCACAAAGACCTTGTTCCATCCTACCACCTTCATTTAGAAGATCTGGCCACCACTACTCCTATGAGAGGAACAGCCAGCAATAATACTGGAGGCAAGGTGGGGGATTCTCTGTATCAGGTGTTTTCTGGTTAATCTGAAAACATACTTCTTACCTTCTCATTTTTTTGTTTTTCCTGTACCTGAAGCTGCTCCAGCACAGACTGAAAATGATTCTGAAAAATAAATTGAATAACTGATGAATGCTGAGTCTCAAAGGAAAAAGGAACCAAAGGAGACAAACAGTTTGGCAAATAATTGCTTTTTTTGTTTTGTTTTGTTTTTGAGACAGAGTCTTCCTCTGTCACCTAGGCTGGAGTGCAGTGGTGCAATCTCGGCTCACACAACCTCCACCTCCCAGGCTCAAACGATTCTCATGCCTCAGTCCCCTGAGTAGCTGGGATTACAGGATCATGCCACGAATTTTTGTATTTTTAGTAGAGATGAGGTTTCACTGTGTTGCCCAGGCTGGACTCGAGCTCCTGGCCTCAAGTGATCTACCTGCCTCAGCCTCCCAAAGTGATGGGATTATAGGCATGAGCCACCAAGCCCAGCCACAAATAATAAACTGCCAGACATACAAAAGAGCACTCATTTCAAAGGATTTAGAGTATAAAAACTATCCCCCCTAACTACAGCACAATCCAATTTGATTTTATATACACTCTATAGCATTTCTTTTTCTTACTCTAAATAATTGTAATGCCCTTATGTTACCTTTTTGTAGTTTAGCACAAATCCTTTGTCTATGGTGACCTGTTAGAGAAGTTGGTTTAGAATCTGGTGCTGGTGATGCCTCCATTTCCCCTAACTAGGGCAGAGTATCACTATTCCTAACTAGTACTACATGTAACAATAATCAAAACAATAGCATATATCTGTATGTTTCAAAGTGTGCCCTTATCTGTTATCTTACTTGGTTATTCTAAAGGATAACACTCAAAAAGGATATAGTTCTGTGCACCCCTTTGCTGACTACAGCTCTAGAGAAAATGAAATCTGTCAGGAAATTCCAAATGCTTCAGAACTTCCCTCAATAAAAACAGTGAGCAAACATGGCCTAAACATACATTTTCTTTTTGTTGAAGCTCTTAAACATATATTAATAAAAATAAAGCAAGATATTTATTCTTGTTGAAACATGCACCAAAAATTTAAAAACTATTTTTCTTTTTTACTGCAATGGATACATTTTAATACAAATAACAGGGTTCAATTTATGCCCTACCATTTACCTTGATCCCTTGCAAGTTACTTAACCTCTTTGAGTTTCAATTATTTATCTATAAGATGGGAGTGGTGACGGTAGCTATGTTTCAAGGGTGTGAGGATAAAAATGTGGTAATACATGTACAATTCTTAGCCCTTTATGTGCCTTTTACATAGCAAATGCTCAATATTTCCAATTTTTATCTCAAATCACCTAGTCCCTTCCCCCAAATGCTTATATTAGATGATCAAAATTACTCAGGTAAAAGGAAATGGGGTTATCTTTTATTAGGAGTTTAGTTTCATGAACGAACAAGAACCCTGCATAGAAATGACATAAGTGGATCTATGTCCATACCACCCTGAACGCGCCCGATCTCGTCTGATCTTGGAAGCAAAGCAGGGTCGGGCCTGGTTAATACTTGGATGGGAGACCGCCTGGGAATACCGGGTGCCGTAGGCTTAAAAAAAATAATAATAAAAAAAAGAAATGACATAAGTGGAAACACAAAGGCAAGATACTGAAAGAAAGATATCAGGATTCCTTTATGCCAGCCAAGAGCTTACCTTGAGTGTCAGGTTTTCCACTTTCATGATGAGATCCTTCTGTCTTTGTGTTTTGTTCTGAATCTCATGGAGCTTTTTCTCCTTTTTACAAATCTGCTTCTGAATTTTCATGACTAATAGAGATACACAGTAACTTTATGTATTTAAATATAGCCTAAATGAATGGACCAAGATCCAAATCAAGTAAAACTCCACTACACACTGCAGCAATAACTTCTTAAGCTTAGCTTTGAGTCTAATGTATGCTTAGAGTCAACTTTTAGCACTGCCACCCACCCTGGTCCCATCCCTTTGTTTTTTCTCTGACTTACCTATTGAACTGACACCTTCATTTGCCCTATACTGGCCAGATTCAATAAACTTGGCCTGTATCTGCCTTTTGAGATACTCTTCAGAATCATCTTCCTCGTCTTCTTCATCTTCATCCTCATCGTCATCCTCATCTTCCTCGTCATCCTCATCTTCCTCATTGTCATCCTCATCGTCCTCATCCTCATCCTCATCTTCATCATCCTCATCCTCATCACTGTTACTTCTAGAACCACTGAACATCTCTTGAAGCATACAATATTCTACTGGTTTTAAGCAAGAAGAAGGTGAACTATCTAAAATTCTGCAAATAACTTATACTCTAGATACAATTATATTCCTTACTTTCAAATTCCCCGGGCAACCAGTAAATTTTATAAATCATTTTTTTCTGCAGGAAGATTATTCCCTTCATACAAGGACAGCAAATGCAAAACACTGTGACATTCATTCATGTAGTGAATGATCAAGACATTTAGAGAATCTAAGGGTCACAGGAAGTTAAAATACCAGCGGTGGATGGGAGATTAGAATACCAATCTAAAACCCCTAAACTGCCAAGAGACCAATAAGAGGGAAGAAGGGCTGGGTGTGGTGGTGCATGTCTGTAATCCCAGCACTTTGGGAGGCTGAGGCAGGCAGATCACTTGAGGCCAGGAGTTTGAGACCAGCCTGGCCAACATGGTGAATGCCCTTCTTTTCTAAAAATTAAAAAAAAAAAAAATTAGCTGGTTGTGGCGGTACATGCCCACAATCCCAGCTACTTGGGAGGCCCAGGCACAAGAATTACTTGAACCTCGGAAGCGGAGGTTGCAGTGAGCCGAGGTCACACCACTATGCTCCGGCCTGGGCAACAGTCAGACTCTGTCTTAAGAAAAAAAAAAAAAAAAGAGGCTGGGCACAGTGGCTCATGCTTGTAATTCCAGCACTTTGGGAGGCCAAGGCAGGTGGATCACCTGAAGTCAGGAGTTTGAAACCAGCCTAGCCAACATGGTGAAACCCCGACTCTACTAAAAATACAAAAATTAGCTGGGCGTGGTGGTGTATGCCTGTAATCCCAGCTATTTGGGAGGCTGAGGCAGGAGAATCACTTGAACCCAGGAGGCAGAGGTTGTAGATCATGCCACTGCACTCTAGCCTGAGCGACAGAGCGAGACTCCATCTCAAAAAAAAAAAAAAAAAAAAAAAAAAGAGGGAAGAAGGACGAGGGCATTTTTTTTTTTGATTGGCCTATGAATTTATGGAAAATGATCTGACACCCAGTCAACACCTCCCATATCTGACGCTCCTGCTTTGCCTTTACTAAAGTACCTGATGAGATGTGACTCTGCTTGTAGCTGTTCATTCCCGAGGATATCACAAATCCTGGGATGGAGCCTTGACTTTCTATTTCCTTGGTTCCATCTTCAGCAATAACTTCCCAACCTGAGTAGGGGGCAGTCAAGGAAAACATAGAAGGAAAAGGCACAGCTGAAAGAGAAGAGGCTCTTTGGCTAACAGTGCTATTTAATTTAGATCGTTTGTATCGGAATTCCTAGTTTGAGAAGTGTCTTATATTGAATTACACAATAAATAATTTTCTATTACATGACTGTACTGTTCCTAGCTAGAACAGAACATTTCAAAAAATCTTAACTTTTATACATCAAGACTGGTACACAAACACCAGAGGTGAGGCTTCGTCAGCATGTACAAATGGGGCAGAACAGACTATGCATAAAATATTTTTATAAAGGATACGGGTACTTATGGCTTCAGCATCTGAATGCAGCAGTCTCTTTACTTCCTTTTCCACTTCTGGAGATTCAATGTTCTGAAGCGAAGTTGGGGACTAGAGGGGAATACCAGTACTGTCATTTAACACCCTGTGTTTTGCAGGAGTGCCCTTCTATGTACCAATGAATTCAAATGTTAGGTCTCTTTAAATTCTGATCCAACCAAATTTCTACTTTAAGTAGTGCTATTTATGAAGGAATCTTTACCCAGGCTCTAGAATTTTGTACAGTAATTTTTCCTAATTAAACAAATTATTTGAGACATTTAATCTTTTCAATCTGCAGCTCTATGTAAAGACCTTTCTCAAAGGTGCAACTCTTAGGTCTCAGTTATTGGTAATTTGACCTGATTTATATTGGCAACGAACTATAATTTCTTATTAGTTATTTAGAAATAATTTGGTTTAAAGATCCAAATTGCCAGATTTCACTTCCTCACATCTTTTTTATTAGAGATATTCCTACAAAAACTGGATCTTAGCTGCATGTTCTCCCTTGAATCCAGTTTTACATAATTATCTCCACAGCAACCAATTTGTCATGCCACAAATATAAATTAGGACTTTGAGGGGGAATAAGCAATTGCAAACAACTACTGTTAAAAGTGAACTCTGGCTTCCAAGAAATGGCTTTTGAAATAAATATGAGAGAAAAAAGAGCAGATTAGAATATACGGGGTCACTGGCCAAATTGTATCTTTTCCTATAGGAGTTATCAAACATCAAACAATGAATTCATTTTTCAGTGAATCAAACCCAGTGTATGTGTTTGGGATGAGGGTTAGAGGTAAGAAGGAAAGCTCAAAAATAGCTTTTGTGATTTATTTGATTCATTTAAAACTAATGAGCTATTAAATAAAACACACTAAGGGTAAAAATGAAGTTATATTATGATTGCTCTACCTCAGTAGAGCGGATTTCTTCCATTTCTTTGACATCAGGAACCTATGAAGTAAAACACAATAAACAAGTTATATTATGATTGCTATACTTCAGTAAAGCTTAAAGAGCTCTACAACTATTCTTAACTTAGTTTTACATTTAGTAGGGATTCAATAAATGTTGACTTACAGAGTATAAAAGCCAAGGCAGCTGTGTTCATGGATAGGAAGACTCAACATAGTAAAAATGTCAATTCTCCCTAAATTGATCTTAAAGTTTAATGCAATTCCTGGCAAAATTCTAGCAAGGTTTTATGTAGCTATAGACAAGCTTATTCTAAAATTTATATTAAAAGGTATGGGCTCTTGTTGGGGCGCGGTGGCTCACACCTGTAATCAGCACTTTGGGAGGCAAGGGTGGGTGGATCACCTGAGGTCAGGAGTTCAAGACCAGCCTGGCCAACATGGTGAAACCCCATCTCTACTAAAAATACAAAAATCAGCCGGGCAGGGTGGTGCATGCCTATAATCCCAGCTACTCAGAAGGCTGAGGCAGGAGAATTGCTTGAAACCAGGAGGCAGAGGCTGCAGTGAGCTGAGATTGCACTATTGCACTCCAGCCTGGGCAACAGAACAAAACTCCTTCTCAAAAAAATTTAAAAAAATGAAAAAAATAAATATATGGCCTCTAGAATGGCTAAACAATATTGACCAAAAAAAAAAAAAAAGTCAGAGCAATCAGTCTTCTGATTTTAGGACCAATTATATAGCGAAACTGTGATATCGGTAGAGGGATTGATACATGGATCAATGGAATAGAACCCAGAAACAGACCCACAAATACAAGCCCAATTGATGTTTGGCAAAGGTGCAAAAGCAATAAAACAGAGGAAGGATAGCCTTCTCAACAAATGATGCTAGAGCTCTTAGACACCCTTTAGCAAGAAAAGCAAAAGAAAAGAAACTTGAAGTAAACCTCATAGCGTTTACAGAAATTAACTCAAAAATGGGTATCTGGCTTAAAAAGATGTTTAAAAAAAAGCAGGAGAAAATCTTCAGGATCTGGACTAGGAGAAGAGTTCTTAGATTTACTATAAAAAGCAAAATCATTTTCAAAAAATCAATATATTGGACCTCAACAAAACTAAAAACTTTGGCTCTTTGAAAGACCCTATGAAGAGGATGGAAAAACAAGCTACAGACTGGGAGAATATATTTGCAAACTACATACGTGATAAAACACTAGTAGTATTTAGAACATGAAAAGAACTCTCAAAACTCAATAATAAAAAATCTATTTAGAAAATAGGCTAAGGCTGGGCGCAGAAATCCCAACACTTTGGGAGGCCAAGGCAGGCGGATCATGAGGTCAGGAGATCGAGACTATCCTGGCCAACATGGTGAAAATACATGTTGAAAATACAAAATACAACTAAAATACAAAAACTAGCTGGGCGTGGTGGTGTGCTCTTGTAGTCTCAGCTACTCAGGAGGCTGAGGCAGGATAATCGCTTGAACCCGGGAGGCAGAGGTTGCAGTGAGCCGAGATTGTGCCACTGCACTCCAGCCTGGTGACAGAGCAAGAATCCATCAAGGAAGGAAGGAAGGAAGGAAGGAAGGAAGGAAGGAAGGAAGGAAGGAGGGAAGGAGGGAAGGAGGGAAGGAGGGAAGGAGGGAAGGAGGGAAGGAAGGAAGGAAGGAAGGAAGGAAAAGAAAGAAAGGAAAGAACAAGAAAGAAAGAGAGAGAGAGAGAGAAAGAAAGAAAGAGAAAGATAATAGGCAAAAGGCATGAGCAGACATTTCACTGAAGTGAAATAGATGGCACATGAACAACCTCATTAGCCATCAGGGAAATGTAAATTAATACCACAATATATCACTACACATCTATCAGAATGGCTAAAATAAAAAATAGTGACAACACCTAATGCTGGTAAGGAGGTGGAGAAACTGGATCATTCATACATTAATGGCAGGAATATAAAATGGTACAGTCACTCTGGAAAACAGTGAGGTAGTTTCTTATAAAACTAAACATGCGACTACCATACAACCCAGCAGTTATACTCTTGGACACTTATTCCAAAGAAATGAAGACTTATATTCACACAAAAACCTGTTCACAGTTTTATTTATAATAGTAAAAACCTGGAAACAACAGATGTCCTTTAGTAGGAGAACAGTTATGTCATGTGGTACATTCGTACCATGGAATACTACTCAGCAATAAGAAATAAATTATTGATGCTACAAAAACTTACATGGATTTTAAGTGAATTATGCTGAATGAAAAAATAAGCTAGTTTCTGATGTTATATACCACATGATTCCATTAATATTAAATCTTTGAAATGGCAAAATTACAGAGATAGAGATCAGATTAGTGATTACCAAGTATCAGAGACTGGGGTGTGAGGTAGAAGGGAAGTGGGCATGGTCATACAAAGGCAAAATGAGGGATCCTTGTGGTGATGAAACTGTTTTGTATTTTGACTGTGTAGGCAGATACGTGAACTTACACATGGGATAAAACTGCATAGAACTAAACACACACACAAAAATATGTGAGTACAAGTAAAACTGGAGAAACTGGAATAAGATTGCTGAATTCTAATCATGTCAATTACCTGTTTGTGATATTGTACTATAGTTTTGCAAAATAGGGAAAATGATACAAAACAGTTTCATCACCACAAGGATCCCTCATTTTGCCTTTGTATAACCATGCCCACTTCCCTTCCACCTCGCACCCCAGTCTCTGACACTTGGTAATCACTAATCTGATATCTCTCTTTTATTTCTTATAATTGTATATGAATTTACAATTATTTAAAAATAAAATGTATAATTTTAAACAAAAGAAAAGCCAAGCCACAATACTTCTGTAGTTTGCCCAAGGTTCTAGAAGCCTGAAATAAGATTAGGAATACAACTGCAATTCCCAATTTTCAGGTTCTAGATAGGTTCATTTTAAAACTAGATCTTGTAATGGAAAACTGAAAGCATTAACAGAAGTTTCAAATGTATGATTCTTCCAGACCCCTAATGACTAGCCTATAACCTCAAGGATCAGGTCTTTGTATTTACTGCTATATTCCCAACTGCTGGTGTACAGTGCCTGGCATTTAGTTCACATTCAATAAATGTTTATTGAACATATAAATGAATGAACAAATAAATTCCCAATGGACTTTTTCCTTTTCCTTCTGGCCCATGATCCTCTTCTAATCACCCTGGCAGACACAAAAATGACATGTAACTAACCTTTGTTTTTGTTTTCCGGAACCTTTTCTTTCTCACATTCTTAAGTGGTGGAGTAACTAAAATAAATACGAAACAGTGAAACATTATATGACCGATGGTAGTCACATAGCTGAATTTGATAAAGCTCATGCTATAAACCACTGGATCATGACATGATTCCTTTTTTTTTTTTCTGAGACAGAGTCTTACTCTCTCACCCAGGCTGGAGTACAGTGTTGCAATCTCAGCTCACTGCAACCTTCACCTCCCGGGTTCAAGTGATTCTCCTGCCTCAGCCTCCCCTGGGATTACAGGAATGCACCACCACACCCAGCTAATTTTTTTAATTTTTAGTAGAGACAAGGTTTAGTAGACATGCTGGGCTTGAACTCCTGATCTCAGGTGATCCGCCTCGGCCTCCCAAAGGGCTGGCATGAGCCACCAGCACCCAGCTGACATGACTCTTCTTAAGAGTGTCTGAAGGCCTAATGAACCAAGCACCTAAGTGTGGTAAGAGGTCCCTGTTTCACAAGGAATTAGGATTCAGCAAATAAATTGTTAGCAGGAATGAGCAAGGGGCTGTGACTTACTGCCATGCTTCCAGACACCTTTTTTCTTTCTCTCCCTTTCATTTTTCCTGATTACATTAGGATCAGTAGAGGCAGCTGGTTCTTCTGGAGAAGGGTGGAGATCACCATCAGCAGTGCACACAAGCATCTACATTTAACAAAGACAAAGAAGTTGACTATGGACACAAATCTTGGGTTAGCAATCAATCATAATCATTCTTACCACTAAAAATGCACAGAAGAGACTGATACTTGCCATTTCCAGAAAACCAAGTATTATGTAATGTACATATTCTCTCATTTTTGCGGTCTCTCTCTCTCTCTCCCTCTCCTCCCCTCCACCAACCACCAGCAGCACTACGTATATGAACTCTGAGGGTTTTTTTTAAAGACAAGGTCTTGCTTTGTCACCTAGGCTGGAGTGCAGTGGTGCAATCATGGCTCACTGCAGCCTCAGCCTCCTGGGCTCAAGTGATCCTCCCACCTCAATCTCTAGAATAGCTGGGACTATAGGTGTGTGCCACTACACGTGGCTAATTTTGTTTTTGTAGAGATGAGGTCTCACTATGTTGCCCAGGTTGGTCTCAAACTCCTGGGCTCAGGTGATCCTCCCACCTCAGCCTCCCAAAGTGTTAAGATTATAGGCGTAAGACATAGTGCCTGGCCTATCTTAGCATTTTGATTTAGAGAGGAAATAAGAAATCAACAGCAGTGATGATGAATAAGAACCAATTTAAATCTCCAGAGTTAACAACATACTGTTTTAATACCAAGTACAGAAGAAGATACTAGCTGCTCATGTTTCAATTAATGAAAAGTCACTATAAATGGCAAATGGGACTCTGTATAGGCTATTAGGTTAAAATAAAGTACGGAAAGCTAAGGATCAAACACCAAACCAGAACATGACATTTCATTCCTGTGCAATCAATCTGGGAATTAGAAATGCCAAGCAACCATTCACCAAGTGGAAAGGAGTACTGAAAGAAAAATAGGGAGAGAAAAGAATTCCTTGAAGGATGTGAGGCTAGTAAAGAAAACTAGTCCATACCTGAGAAATGTCTGCTGTTTTATAAAAGGCTTTTTTATCATGAGTTTTCAGGCTTTCAGTAACACAAGGCAAGTCAACCAGCTTACCAGCTAGTTGGACATCTTCTACTTCAACAACTGCATGGCGCCTATCAGCTGAAGAGAAGTGAAAATTAAAGTTGACGTCTTCTCAGTGAACTTTTAAACTTCCTAAGGTTTGAATAATGAAGACTAGTGTGGGACAGATTAGTCTTTCCAAGAAACCTATTATCTCTCATAATGCTATAATTGTGTACACAATTTTAGTAGCTTCTTAAAGAAAAAAAGGGAAAGTATATGGAGCTCTTTTTTCTTAGTTTACGTTCCTTGTGCAAAAGTAGCTAAGTTTCTTGTTAATGAATGTGAACTAAATATGGGTGAAACAATAAATGTTTCATTCTCATCTTGGAAAGCAAATTCCATTCATTAAAACCAATTCCTTTTTTTAGAAGCATTCAATCGTGTCATTGTACATCTGTGTTTTCAAAGGGCTATGTGAGGGAAGGGTTGACTGACCTTAGAATGGTGCTAGTAAGTCTCAAGTTAAATCGCTAATTAGCTTCATAAAGATAAAATTCTATACAACAGCCATAAACTAAATTCTGAATCTTGCTGCTCAGATGTCCCAAACATGAATGTCTTTTGACACAAGAGGACTGTTATAATCTTCTAATATAACGTGAAAAAAGAAAGATTACAAAACTATGTTTATCATGATCCTTTTTTTGTGTGAATTAACCCTGAAAATTATTATAGAGAGATTGTTTCAATGCTTATTACGCATAAAAGTTTTGTCAATAAGGAAATAGGAAGAAACAGTTAATGTTAGTTATCTGTGGTATTGAGGTTGGGGCACCCTAAGGAAGAAGAGTTTTTTTTCTCCTTTGAACTTCTGTTTCATTTGATTTT